AGACACAGTCTGTATAGTATGATATCTATGTGAAAGAATCTCTGTGCTGAGAATTAACTGACTTCTGTGACGTGAGGCGGCTAGCAGATGGTCGGTTTAGCCAGTGATGTCTGCTTCCTGACCTGGGCCCCAGTTAGTCAAGTACAAACTCTAAGACTATGTGCCATATTTCTAGAGAGAAGAGAGGCACCACCCCAGGAGGGATGAAGACTATCTCTTTTCAACAGGTCAGGTCTGCCCCAAAAACTTGTCCAACAGTCTATGAAACCTACTGTATTGTACACACTGCAATTTAGTGTAGCTTTAGAGTGGGCGGGATTATTCACATGTCGTTATAGTTGCGCCGCCTCTACTGCTGCGACTCCTGAAAAACTTTTTCATTCCGCGTCGCCACATCAAGCTCTCGCTGGATCCGCTCCTCTGCTATCAACGAGAGGAACGTCTCTACTTCCTCAACAGACAACGAAACAGCCACTTTTTGGTTGTTAAAAAAAGGTGCGCTTGTTCAAAACAGTTGCGTTCGATCCTTCGCTGGCTGTGCTGATTTAAATCTAGCGGTTCTGTTGTGTTTGTGTCACAAGTTCAGTGACGCAGGTAGTGACGATTCTCTCCGGCCAATCCGTGATCAGCAGAGTTTACACGTCACGTTTTGGTAACAGTACGGTTCACTTGGAACCTCAACCGAGGTGGTACTAAAAAACAGTACCAGGTACTGTACCCAGTGGAAAACCCCCCAAAAATGAACCGTACCGAGCCGTACAGTGCCGTACCATGCAGTGGAAAAGAGTGATGACAGTCTGCTATGCATCTCGTCACCACGGTAAGCAGGGAGGGGACCAGAGCATATTACAGTGTCTGACATCGGACTTCACCATCACTTTAAAAGAAAAACTACATTTGCCTTTCCTGAAGGAAGTATCAGTACTTGCAAGGCAGCAACAAGAAAGTACAGAAAGTACAGTAGGTTTTGGTTCTGTGTAAATGAAATTGCTGTCCAGTTGTCATGACAATCAGTGCGTGTAGTGCGTGTCGTCAGGTTTATGTGAGCAATGAACTCAATAAAACACTCTCCACATCTGAATATGTGTACTTCCCTACTATATAGTATGCAAAATATGTAAATCAAAAGAGTAGGGTCTTCAAATACATAGTCAGATTAAGAATTTGGGGAAAAAAATGTCCGAAAAGTCAGACTCGGGCATCTGTTTTACTTTCTTTCTTATGTGGAACACAAAAGATTATATTTTGAGGAATGTTTTGACTATTTTTGTTTATGCATTGAAAGTCAGTGGACTCCCAATACACCATTGAACCTCTTTGACTTCTGTTATATGGACAAAATACCCCACTGAGACATTTTTCGAAATGTCTTTTTTGTTACACAGAAGTATCAGTCAACATCCCTCAACCTTTAGTATTGGAACGTTTTCAGAGCAAAATAGAGAGCAACTGAATAAAACAGAAGGCAAAGGTCTCTACACATGTTTTTTTTTAGCACTTGAACCATTTTTAACTTGACAGCATCTTAAAAACACAACACTTATGGTGCAAAATCCTAAAATAATGGTGAGGCCCAATGCAGTGACCAAGTATGTTCATCTGACACAAGTATAAATAAAAAAAATTAACAGTGGTGCGCAGTGACCTCAGGAATTGCAGGGTTTGATTGACAAGTACAGTTTTACATTCTATGTGCCATATTTCTAGAGAGAAGAGAGGCACCACCCCAGGAGGGATGAAGACTATCTCTTTTCAACAGGTCAGGTCTGCCCCAAAAACTTGTCCAACAGTCTATGAAACCTACTGTATTGTACACACTGCAATTTAGTGTAGCTTTAGAGTGGGCGGGATTATTCACATGTCGTTATAGTTGCGCCGCCTCTACTGCTGCGACTCCTGAAAAACTTTTTCATTCCGCGTCGCCACATCAAGCTCTCGCTGGATCCGCTCCTCTGCTATCAACGAGAGGAACGTCTCTACTTCCTCAACAGACAACGAAACAGCCACTTTTTGGTTGTTAAAAAAAGGTGCGCTTGTTCAAAACAGTTGCGTTCGATCCTTCGCTGGCTGTGCTGATTTAAATCTAGCGGTTCTGTTGTGTTTGTGTCACAAGTTCAGTGACGCAGGTAGTGACGATTCTCTCCGGCCAATCCGTGATCAGCAGAGTTTACACGTCACGTTTTGGTAACAGTACGGTTCACTTGGAACCTCAACCGAGGTGGTACTAAAAAACAGTACCAGGTACTGTACCCAGTGGAAAACCCCCCAAAAATGAACCGTACCGAGCCGTACAGTGCCGTACCATGCAGTGGAAAAGAGTGATGACAGTCTGCTATGCATCTCGTCACCACGGTAAGCAGGGAGGGGACCAGAGCATATTACAGTGTCTGACATCAGACTTCACCATCACTTTAAAAGAAAAACTACATTTGCCTTTCCTGAAGGAAGTATCAGTACTTGCAAGGCAGCAACAAGAAAGTACAGTTTAGATTTTAGGTTTTGGTTCTGTGTAAATGAAATTGCTGTCCAGTTGTCATGACAATCAGTGCGTGTCTTGTTTTCTGTCAGGTTTATGTGAGCAATGAACTCAATAAAACACTCTCCACATCTGAATATGTGTACTTCCCTACTATATAGTATGCAAAATATGTAAATCAAAAGAGTAGGGTCTTCAAATACATAGTCAGATTAAGAATTTGGGGAAAAAAATGTCCGAAAAGTCAGACTCGGGCATCTGTTTTACTTTCTTTCTTATGTGGAACACAAAAGATTATATTTTGAGGAATGTTTTGACTATTTTTGTTTATGCATTGAAAGTCAGTGGACTCCCAATACACCATTGAACCTCTTTGACTTCTGTTATATGGACAAAATACCCCACTGAGACATTTTTCGAAATGTCTTTTTTGTTACACAGAAGTATCAGTCAACATCCCTCAACCTTTAGTATTGGAACGTTTTCAGAGCAAAATAGAGAGCAACTGAATAAAACAGAAGGCAAAGGTCTCTACACATGTTTTTTTTTAGCACTTGAACCATTTTTAACTTGACAGCATCTTAAAAACACAACACTTATGGTGCAAAATCCTAAAATAATGGTGAGGCCCAATGCAGTGACCAAGTATGTTCATCTGACACAAGTATAAATAAAAAAAATTAACAGTGGTGCGCAGTGACCTCAGGAATTGCAGGGTTTGATTGACAAGTACAGTTTTACATTTACAAGCCTCACTTACTGCAGGCATTCAGGCAATATCCTAAACTCCAAATTATCATCACCTCATCTTGTAACTACAATCACTTCTGTTGTCTAATAGCTGCATGCAACTGACACTCAATTAGCTTAGAAAATTAGCCTACAGTAGCCTGCATAATGAGTCACTTGCAAAATGGGCATTTGCTAAAGACGGCCAGATAGTGGAAAAGGAAGCATCATCAAAGGCTGGATGAGAACGATGAAACTGACCTCTATTACTGCTTATTTTGATGTTCTTTGACCAAAAAATACAGACACATCCATCACAATAAGAGACACCGACTGCAGTAATGGCTATAATTAAAAAATTTAATTGTCTCAATTAATGGCTGTCAATCATTTAAATAATTTCATGGCATGATATGCTGAATAAATGCCCCCGAATGAAGAAAATATTAAATATTACATTATTAAGGCAAAAAATCATTTAGTAGACATTACAAAAAAAGTGGCTTTAGAAATAGAATATACTGTTTGTTTCATATGATTGAACATGGAGTAAGTCCTCAGTTCTTTGCAAAAGTTTGTCAGGCTCACATGATCACATGATGTAACTGACAGTTATTGTCTAAATATTTCCGATACAAACTAGACATTTTCATACACAGGAGTTTTCATTTGTTTCATAGCCACCTGCAATGGATGATTTTTCAGTTAATACATGCCATGTCGCCTCAGGCTATTAATAACTTTTAGGCTGCTCTTGATTCATAACTCAAAACAAAACTGTCTGCTGTTTTGCCATAGTTGCTGTTATGACAGCCATAATGACAGGTTATTCTAATGATCAGAGGGTTAGATTTAGTTACGTAAATGACCAGCCTTGGCAGGCTATATCTATCTAGAATGCTTTTATTAGATTTTATTATTATATTATTAATTCAATACAGCCTTATATAAGATGAAGTTGATCACAAAGTACTATATAGGTTGCAGATTTCACTAATGTATTACATTTCACAGCTTCTTTTCCACTAATGACTATTGCCTACTCAGAAAATAACCGCAGGTGTTACCAGGATGGACACAGAGTGCACTGAAAGCCTTAGGTATTTTAGTACTACATATATATTCAGAACCTCAAACCTCGACCCAACTCGCAATAAAGCTTCAGGCACTTCTGACTGACTGACTCACTGACTGATACTTCTGTCTGTAAGTCCTAGTACACTTTAACGCATTGCAGATTTTTTTTATTTCTTATTTGTCTTAATTCACATCACAAATCTCTCTTTTTAACACTTTTCCTGAACCCACCTGACTCCGTTGTTGCTAAACACTGACTTTTCAAAATACACAGAATTCCCAATGGATAAATCAGGTCTAGATCAGAATTATTTTCCTCATTGTATGTTTTTTTTTTTTAAATGTCAGATTATGAAGATAAAATGGTTGTAAACGCAATTTCATGTTAATATTTTGTTATAAAAAAGCCAACAATCGAACAATTGAATTGGTGAATCATTTTCTGTACCTGTTCATTTACACACAATGATTCATTAATAGGGACACTATACAAGGGTAAACACAGCACACCAATGCAAAAATGGCAATAGCGTTTGTTTACGCTACAACACTACTTGGATAAAGTAGCGCGTTACTGTAAAAACTCCACGGTTTTAAAAACACCTGAACTACTGTCACACTAGTAAAAATGTTGTTTATTTAGTATAAAGACAAAAGTAGTTACTTCCCAGCATTGATATTGACTGTAAGTGTGTTTTTCTGTGTGTGTGTGATACAGGTGATGGAGTATGAGAACCGGATCAGAGCTTACTCCACCCCAGACAAGATATTTCGCTACTTTGCCACCCTGAAGATCATCAGTGAGCACGGAGACGCGGAGGTGTACATGACACCACAGGACTTCGTGCGCTCCATCACACCCAATGAGAAACAGCCAGAGAGTGAGTTTCAGTCTTTCTTGGCCAGGGTTGGCCAAAATTCAGAATTCAATATTCTAATTGGCCACATCTAACAGGATGTTGAATTGGAATCACAGGAAGAGGAATTTAATTTAAAATTTAAAAGAAATGTAGCAGTCAACAGAAGGGCTTTTCACACTGCACTTAACCCCGGGTTATCGTCGTTCTAAACACTGGTTTTAACCCCGGGTCAAGGAACGTTTCAATCATGTAATTTAGAAGTGGGGTTAGCACCACTTTTTACCCGGGGTTATGAAACCCTGCTCTGGAGACAATTTCATTCTTACCTTTATAGTGTGAAACATCCATTCTGGAGAACTTGATTTTACAGTCTGCAGTATATAATATGTTTATGCACAATACTAGTGCCATTATGTAAGCACGTCTCATGCTGCATTCGTCCAGTCAGTGACACTGACACTGCAAATATGCAAATAAGAATGTTGAACTGGGGTTTAGCGATGTACTGTGTAACGTCAGTTTATGAATAAGCAATGTGAAACGTGACGCAAGATAACCCAGGATTCCATTTATGCTGGGTTTAGAATGACGTGTGAAAAGCCATAGAGAATCAAAAGTGTTGCGATAAAACATAAGTAATTTTTTGATGTCATTTTATTATTTTTATTTATTTATTTGACTATGTACAGTGGTGTGAAAAGTGTTGGCCCCCTTCCTGATTTCTTATTTTTTTGCATGTTTGTCACACTTTAATGTTTCAGATCATCAAACAAATATCTTTGACTAATATTTAAATTTGTTTGATGATCTGAAACATTAAAGTGTGACAAACATGCAAAAAAATAAGAAATCAGGAAGGGGGCCAACACTTTTTCACACCACTGTATATTTACTCTCTAATATGTAGATTTTTTTTCTCAGGTTCAGTACTGTTAAAAAATAGGACAGCCATCAAAAGATAAGTTCATGGGTGACAAATTAGTTACATTTTTTTTTGAAAATTTGTGAAAAAAAAGAGAAAAGTTATTTTACAGCAGTTAAAAAATATTTACAATTTAATTTTGTTCTACTTTAATTTAATTCTACTTCATTCAATTCAAATTCTACAAATTGCTTGCTGCATCATTTCAAATTCAAATTCTGGAGTTTGAAAGGCATTCAATTGAATTCCGAATCTTGCTCATATATGTAAACATCACACATCAGTCATGTCTCTTCGTGCTGAGCTTCCTTCTGTATCTGTAAATAGCATTAGGCTTGACACACTCATAAATACAGTGATAGCCACTGGCTTGTGGCACAGCCTGACTTCCTCACTCATTTCCTGTGCTCTAATCCAAGTCTGTAACATTCCTCTTAGGGCTGAAGCTGTGATAAAGGATTACTTTACATCATAAGGTTTTTGTCCTGCCATGTTCCTAACGTAGCAGTGAAGAAAATTGAAAACTACCCCGCAGACAGGTGGCGTTGTAGTGCAAAATTCAAACCGTTGTCACAGTTTTGACCCTCATCTACCAGCTGACGTGGTCATGCTCATCAGCCAAAACAGGGCTATGTTCCACAATTGTTATGCCCTTCACTTCGCTGACTTGCATTTGTCTCATGAACATGCTCTAGTGGCCACTACTACCGAAACAGAACTGCCTAAGCCCTTGAACACTAGGAACCCACTATGAATCTGATTTATTATTTACAACCAGTGGGGGCAGGTTCAGCACAGATCCTCTGTGAGGTCACATTCAAAGTTGCATTTTGGGAGATGGAGCTGCCTGAATTGTACTTATGAGCTGCCTCAAATTTGACCGTTTCAGGGTCTTTCAGCAGAAACTTCTTTCTCTCACACAGGGATTCCCCTTAGAGGAAGAGCCTAGGGAAGTATGGGTGTATGTTTAAAGTGAAGTCCACAACTTAAAGTCTGAAACAACGGCATTGCCTTTTTTTGACGTATTCTGTTGTATTATGATGTATTCTGTGCCATAACCATATAAAACATTCAAAATGTGGTCGATGATGTCGCCAATAGCCTTGTGTGCAGTGCGCCGATATATAACGCAGCTGCGCTACGGGCGTCCCGAGTTTGAGTCCCAGCTCGCAGACTTTTCCCGATCCTGCCCCTCTCTCTCTCCCACTTCACTTCCTGTCTTAACTCCACTGTCCTATCAGAATAAAAGGGAAAAAAAAACTGAAAAAAATTAATCTTTTAAAAAAAGACAGAATGTTGAATTGGAATCACAAGGAAGAGGAATTTACAGAAATGAAAAGAAATTTAGCAGTCAACAGAAGGGCTTTTCACACTGTAACAGCCCATGAATCAGCATAAGGACATTACGTACATTTTCAATTATAGTCTATACCCGTTAATCAAATACCCATACCTGTACTATTAAATACCCATTTGGCACTTTATTTCCACTTTTTGAATATTTTCTTCTTTTTTTTATTGAAAATAAATGCCTCTGTGATCTGATATGTGGTGAAAAACGGGAGAAGAAGAGGATCTGAAAAAAGCAAATTCGAGCATCAAAAGCTAAAACTATTTTGACTCTCGATGCCACTCTATCAGTTACCAGCTTGGATTCTTTTGTAATTTTGTGTAGCTCAACCAGTCAAGCTACATTTTAACCCATGTGTTTTTGAAATGTAATCTTAGCCTATATTTTTCTCCATTCAAGCAGACAGTAGATGTGTGACTAGAGAACAGGTACCCTTGGGCATTACCAAGATGGCCGGCAAATGAAATAACTTTGGCTTTATGCTAGGGCTGCACGATAAATCGCATGCGATATTTAACGCGCATCTTATCAGTAAAGCCGGTTCTGTAATCAGCGGTAAATCTCCATCACCTGCGGCCTTTCACATTGAGCAGCATTAACTACACAGAGCCGTTGTTCACTGACGAGCTGCGCAAAACCACGTTCATATTTGCGCGATTTTTTGCGCAGCTCGTCAGTGAACAACGGCTCTGTGTAGTGCATTAGATCTATATTTAATAATTTCATTATATTCTCTTCATTTACATAGTGTTTAATTACTTTTTAAATTCTTTACATTATCAGATGCAAACATCTACATCTTGGAATTTGCATTTTAATGGAGTCCATGACAGCTGAGCCAGGAAAACAGCTGTTGCATGTAAAGTGATGGCAAACCGAGCAGAGGCTTTTAAAGGAGGGTATGCCACAGTGAAGTGAAGTGTGTGTGTGTGTGTGTGTGTGTGTGTGAGAGAGAGAGGGCGACATTGTTTGGTAAATTAATTAGCACAGTAGAATGAAAGACTCCGTCACTCTCACCCAGAGGCAGAGCTGATGCAAGAGATTTGATCACTGGCCATGCATAACTGATAGAAGTGCTGATGTCTGCAAATGTGTGTGTTTGCATGTGTGAGTGCATCTACACTTTCAGTTCAGCATTTTCAGACCAGTCTTCATTAGGATTGGGTACCGAAACCCGGTACCAATATGGCACGGTACCTATGTAACCGGTATGTACTAGAACCGAATCCGAACGCAGATTTCGGTGCCATGCCTGAGCGATCGATTGAAATATTTGTCCTCAGGTTCTCCGAAACGGATGTAAGAAGCGTCATCACTGGCACCGCACGTGAAAAAAAATTTCCTGACTGAGAAAATGCACGTGAACTCAAGTCGGAAAACTCTAATAATACAAATCCAACACATCTTTGTAGTAACGAGAGTGTCCATGTTGTTTTCACATTCCGACTTAAAAGCACAACTCGGGAAATGAGAGCATCCGAGGAGCGCGGAATGCAGTAATTACACTTGCTCTGATGGCAGTAGGTAGCCTTACGTTAACTAAGCTAAACATGCTTAAATTAAAATGCCTAAAGCTAAACCTCCCTTGTATTCACATTTCTAATCCTGTTGTCCAACAAAAGAGCATTAACAACATTATAACATTATAACCTTTTTACTCCACACCAGTCAAATGCTTCCTTTTGTGATCTGATGAGGCTTCTTGTCACAGAATGAGGCAGAAAATATGTTCCATATGCTACTTTAAAAAGAATACATCGATTAGCAATAGATTATAAATTAGGGTGATCATACGTCCTCTTTTCCCCGGACATGTCCTCTTTTTGGACCTACAAAAATGCGTCCGGCCGGGATTTCTTAATTGCCCAAAATGTCCGGGATTCGGCTGTTTTCTTAATCCCACTCCCGCTGAATCTCTGACCATTGCCGCCTGCTCCCGCAAACACACACAACATGTGTTTCGCTCCCGCAATTTTCGTGTCCACTTCTTTAAACATTCTAATATCGTATATAATTTTGGCGCATCAGGGAGCCGCACTCAGGATGCAGTGTATTTAAATATTTTTGAATGAACATTTGCGCTGTTTACTTTCACTTTCGATTTCACAAACACACGCACTCTAAAAGGGTGTAAAGGGAGCACATCTTACAAGATCAGATATTTGTCAATGAGTTATTCTATTCTAACTACTTGTTTTATTTATAAAGAAAAAAGAGCCTCTAACACTAGCATTCTCTATTCTTTCTCTATTCTTTCCACTTATTTTCTTTTTATTTATTATAAATAATGACCTTCTAACACTAGCATTATCTGTTCTTATTCTGTTCTATTGAATTGTTTTATTTTTATTTAAAAATTACCCTCTAACATTAACATTCCCCATTCTTTTTCTATTCTTTCTACTTGTTTTCTTTTTATTTATTATAAAAACAAAATAAGCAAATAAACAAAAAAAAAAACCTTGCTACGTATACTGTTAGGTGAACCCCGCCAATCCATTTTTTGGGGGAATTTTTATTTATTTATTTTTTAATAAGTATCGGTTCAGGCACTGTTTAGGTACCGGAACCGTTTTAAAAGTATCGATTTGGCACCGGTATCGGAAAAAAAAAAAAAGATACCCAACCCTAGTCTTCATCATACATTTGTCATTTTGGACAGTAAATTTTAGTAAATTGGATGATGCACTGTTATGAGATCACACATTTTTTGTGTGTTAGTCTTAATCTGATTTACACAAGTTGGAC